GGGATGGACGATGTTCTAACTTTAGAAACACAAATTTAGTATTTAACAAATTCTTATGTACGGTTCTTAAGGTTGATTATTAAGGTTTAGAAGTAGAACGGAATGAAATTGGTACAGGCTTTAAATTTGAAAATGTATTGCGCAAACTAGATAGGAGAGGTTCTGTGTCAACAGAATGATGTGAATTTATAGAAAATTCTCCAGGAAGACAAAGTGGTTGCCTAACTCAGCGGGAGAACAACGCCGATCTTCTTTTAAAGAGAATCAGAGTCCCAACAGGATTATTGGTGGTTCGTGATTCCACCTATCGACATTTCCTATGGCTGTTATGGCGGTTTTGAGAGTCCTGTGCTTGTAAAATTGTAAAAGGGTGTGATAGATTGTGGTATGCCGATTCTGGAAAGATATTCACGGAGAAGAGTGTTTGCTACTGAAGAAGATGAAATATCATTTATAGGATAAGCTTCAGGCCAAAGTGTGAAGCGGTCGATTACTGTGAGGACATAAGAACATCCTAAAGATACTAAAGGTCCTAATAAATCTATATGGATATGCTGAAATCGTCCTTTAGGAATGGATATTTTCTCAACAAGGGATTTGGTATGTTGATGGATCTTTGTTTTCTGCTACTGGAGACATCTCATTCTTGTCCAAAATTGTATGTCCTTTGACATATGAGGCCAAATGAAGCGAGATTTAACACTGTGTAATGTAGAACGAAAACCTGAATAAGTTAAAGAATGAAATTTATTAAAAATTACTCTTCTATATTTTTAAGGTATATATATTTTAGGGGACGTCAATGTAATGTCGCACCAAAGTACTAAATTTTAGCCTGCAATTTTTGTTTCAGATAAAAGTATAAGTTAGTTATAATTGCATTTGAGTAGTATAGATTCGCCGATTCAAGAACCTCCTCCTAGATCTCAGGTTCGAGGAATTTTGCGAATTTTTTGGGGGTCAGAGGAGGTTTCTTGAGGAGAGGAGGTTCTTGAAATCGGCGATTCTTTTGGAGGTCGGAGGAGATTCGATGAAGAGAGGAGGAGGTCAATTAACTTGAGAAGGTCATGTTATTTTGACGAAATTATTAAAAATGTATCTTTATTAAAAATGTATCTTTATTTAGGTTATGTTATTAAAAATTTATCTTTATATGTAACCTGTTTACCTAGATGAAAACAATTACTATGTTTATCCTTCGACGCTTCTCAATGAACTGTTAGTGTTTTCGATATATCTCTTAACTTATTGTACACAAAGGTATAGGGCTTTGGGACATGTAGGTATACAAATAAGTGAGTCATGATCTACCTGCGGGATATTTTTTTTTAATTTATTGTGTAAAGGTATACGGAGCTTTAAAATATGCGAGGAGGTTCTTGAATCGGCAAATTTTTTGGGGGGATACGTTCGAGGAGGAGGTCAATTAACTTAATACTAGTAAGTGAGTCATGATCTACCTGCGAGATATTTTTTTAATTTATTATGCAGAGGTATACGGAGTTATAAATATACATGTATACAAACGCACTCGATGCATCCTCCTCCTCCCCAATAAGTTTCAGGAGCGGTGAGGGTTTATAAACGCCTGCGAAATGTGGTATTGACGTAGTTCTTTCATAACAAGTAGAAGTGTACAACATTAAATTGTAAAATGGTCGTGTGTGAGGATTGTGGAAAAAGTTTTACTCGAGTTGACAATTTAAAAAGACATCAACGATTATCTTGTATTGGCAAGAGAATCAAGCTTGACGCACCGCAAATTCCAAAAGCAGTAAAATGTGAGGCTTGCGATGATTATGTAAATAGACAATGTTACTCTGCACATTTACGAAGCAACGCACACAAGCGTAACGCTTTTGTTATAATCGATGACGGAGTGGAGAGAATAGCTGGAGCATTCGGTGACAAAATTGTCAGTTATCGAATAAGTGAAGAAGGTTTTTTTGTGGATTTGGATGAATTTTCTCATAGAATTCGAGAAAAAATACTAAATCTAATACAAAGCGCAATCGATATTCACCGAAATGTAAAATTAAATATGGAATGTTTTGGTTTGTATTTTTTACAATCAAAGGAAGACTGTGAAATAAAATCATTCAATACGAAAAATAAGGTAGTATCATTAGCGTCGGATCTGTATAAAATATATAAGGAATTTATTGATGAAATTTCATCAAAAATGTCAGAATTCCAGGAACGAGATTCAGGTAAGCGTAATGTGACATAATATACCTATATATTAAAAAATAAATGTTTCAATATTTTATTTAGGATGGACTTTAATGCAAATTCTCTATATGGAGTTAAATTTAAACAAATATAATCCTATCAGAGCATCTAATTACATCGATCTACCATCGCAAATAAAAGCAAAGCGTGCTGTGATAAATATACAAAACGCGGATGATGCATGTTTTGCATGGGCTGTAACATCCGCACTACATGAACCGAACGGTTTACCACAGAGGACANCTTTAGAAGAAGAAGCCTTAGAAACAAAAGCTGCATTAATAGCTTTAAGGTATGTCCGGTTTTCGGTGCAGTGTTGGGATACCGCCATTAAAGAAAGAGAGTCGTTGGACTCATCGCCGCTAGCCACTTCCGAGTGTGTCACTTCAACCTTTGACAGAGTCGCAGGTTCAACTGACACACGCTTGTGTTTGGTACTTCGCGAACGAGCACGGGTCTCCCGTCGAAGCTCTCTATACTTATCTGGCGGTAACCACACACCTGCACCCTTCTTCCGGTGTTCACGGTTCCCCGACTTTCGACGAAGTGAAAGTGAAAGGTGTTTCACATTCTTATCGTCGACTTTCGAGGAACCTGCGATGTTTGGAAGCGCCGTAGCTTGCTGCACATTAGATTCAACGTTTGGATCCATCGGCTGCTCATTAGGCTGCACGTTTGGATCCAGAGCCTTCTCAACAGTCGACATGTTCAACAGGTTTATGTCAAAACTGTTTAACAGAAAGGATTCCTGGCTGGCGAAACCCGGAGCAGTTAAATCAATTTGACTAAAACCGTCTTGAGACATCTTGATAAGAAAAGAAAATTAATTAATTTTATTTTAATAAAAAAAACATGTATACTTACATCGCTTGATGAAAAATACAGTTGCACGTTAAAATCTAACTGCAGAGGGTGCTTGTCAACAAAGTGCTGAATGATAGGATATGAATGATAAAACGTTCGAAAAAATAAAGTTATGCTTACCAATAAAAGTTAACTTGAAAAAATAGAAGGAGCTATAGGAATGAAAAACACAAGATTAAAAACAATATATGTCAAGAAAGGAGACTATACTTACCAGAAAAAAGTTGCTGAAATTACGAAGTTAAAAACTGATCGGTCTAATCGAACTGATCAGCAGTAAGCTCCTGTAGGAATTGGGAAAAAATATCAATTTAACATAACAAACAAATAAACAAGTTGTACTCACAAAAACAAAGTAGAACGAGCTGTTATGATGAAATAAAGCAAGAATATATTATATAAACATGGAAGTAGAAAAGATTACTTACCAAATAAAACACGTCAGCAAAAAAAGAGAAAGCTGAATGAGCAAGGATGTCTAGGAGTGGAAAAAACAATTTTAAATATTATATAAACGTGCAAATCAAATATAGTTTTACTCACCAAAAAAGAGAAAGTTGTAGAAAGAGCTGTAGTGATGGAGAGAAAATGAACGTTATACAAACTTGATAATAAAGAAGGTTGTACTTACCAAAAAACTGAAGAACACAAACACTTAAGTGACTTTCAAAGACTGGGAGGTGCCTTCTTATANAGTTAAATCAATTTGACTAAAACCGTCTTGAGACATCTTGATAAGAAAAGAAAATTAATTAATTTTATTTTAATAAAAAAAACATGTATACTTACATCGCTTGATGAAAAATACAGTTGCACGTTAAAATCTAACTGCAGAGGGTGCTTGTCAACAAAGTGCTGAATGATAGGATATGAATGATAAAACGTTCGAAAAAATAAAGTTATGCTTACCAATAAAAGTTAACTTGAAAAAATAGAAGGAGCTATAGGAATGAAAAACACAAGATTAAAAACAATATATGCCAAGAAAGGAGACTATACTTACCAGAAAAAAGTTGCTGAAATTACGATGTTAAAAACTGATCGGTCTAATCGAACTGATCAGCAGTAAGCTCCTGTAGGAATTGGGAAAAAAATATCAATTTAACATAACAAACAAATAAACAAGTTGTACTCACAAAAACAAAGTAGAACGAGCTGTCATGATGAAATAAAGCAAGAATATATTATATAAACATGGAAGTAGAAAAGGTTACTTACCAAATAAAACACAGCAAAAAAAGAGAAAGCTGAATGAGCAAGGATGTCTAGGAGTGGAAAAAACAATTTTAAATATTATATAAACATGCAAAACAAATATAGTTTTACTCACCAAAAAAGAGAAAGTTGTAGAAAGAGCTGTAGTGATGGAGAGAAAATGAACGTTATATAAACATGATAATAAAGAAGGTTGTACTTACCAAAAAACTGAAGAACACAAACACTTAAGTGACTTTCAAAGGCTGGGAGGTGCCTTCTTCTAGTAGAGTAATGAAGGGAGGGCGTGGGGTGGGGCGTGGCAAGGGGGAGGAGTGGGGAATGGGCGGAGTTAGAGTGGGGGTACTTTTTTTCTGGCTCAACTTTCCTGGCAACCGTGGGGGGAGCCTGAGGAGGAGCATGGGAGGAGCATAGGAGGAGCTTCAATAAACAATCCTTTTCCCTTTTTCTTTTCTCTTTTTGTTTTTTTTTCTTCCTTTTTTCCCCTTTCTTTCTTCCTTTTCCAATTTAATACTTTTTCAATTTACAACCCAAGTCATACCAACCCAACCCAATGTATACATACCATGTATTCATTTAGATTAACTATTTTTTCTTTTAAATTAAAACAACTTTTTACACTTTTTACAATCTTTTATTATTATTAATTTACAATCTATAACTGACAATGTTTATATACTAAACCATACATAAAGAACAATCCTTTCTTGCCGATGGTGGACCATCAATATGCGTTTCCCAATGAGGCAAATTATAATGTTCAAAACAGGGCAGCTTGCTTTGTAATCGCTCATCGTTTCTATACTTCAACGGTAATTTAAACCAAACCGCCGCCAAATCTAATGGCTTTACTTTATTGATATAATAATCGATTGGTAAATAACATAATTCGTAGTTTTTAATATTCGCAAAAGATAAATCAGATTCGTATCTTTCCATAATATCCCACACTTTATTAATTATAAAAGTTGAAAGTCCCAATCTGGTAACTAACCGCCAAAGACGTTCCATCTTGAACTGCTCTACCGCTACTACCCGTCTGCCTTTCTCAATTCGTTTACATATAGTTATAGATGTCTGAATACGTATGAAAATAAATAAAAAACATTCGATAAGGAGCACATACTTGGTCTCTTTTTATGATAGGGACACATCGGCGCACCAACCTCCAATTTGCATTCATTTTCCGGCAATTCTTTTACCGGTATTGTTAAAATTCTTCTTAAAAATGTAGCTTTCTCACGTCCTTTTACGTACGCTACTTTTGTCGAACGACACAAATAATAAACGATCTCATCGAAACGAGACGCAGGAACAAACCCGTCGTTCCAATCAATACAATGATGATGACTCATTAACCAATTCGCCGTATTGCGAAATTTGGTAGATAGTGAAGAAAAGCTTCGACTAGGTTGAAACACGTAATGACTTATACAATGATTACTGTCGTAAGAAGCCAGTTCCTTTGGGATAAATTCTTCATCGTTTATCGTGAAACCTTGAATGTCCAAAATAATAAAATCCCTTTGAAAAACCATAATATCCATAATATACCACTATATGCAAACGTTTCCTTCGATGTTTAGAGATACACTAAA